CAGGGTCCTGCTCCCTCAGGTGTGTCTCAGGTAGACCCACCCCCCGTGGATGAGCCAGTTGAGATCTCTTCTGACTCCTCTGACTCACCTGAGGGGGGTGACGCCGTCGCCGATGACACGGCGACCACTCGCCGCACTCGTCGCTTGGAGACCCCCCCGGGTTTCCCGCCATGGCCGTCTTCGCCGCCTCCGCAGCCTGCTGCTGTGGACTCTGGAGCTGGGACTACTGGAGCTGGGGCTGGGGGTGGTGAGTCTGGGGGTGCCCGCTCTCCTCGTCTGGCTACTCCCCCCGGGTTCCCACCTCTGCCGTCTTCGCCGCCTCTGCAGCCTGCTGTTGTGGACACTGGAGCAGAGACTGAGGGTACTGAGCGTGGGGGTGCTGGGACTGAGGGTACTAGCCTGGGGGTGCTGGGACTGAGGGTACTGAGCCTGGGGGTGCTGGGACTGAGGGTACTGAGCCTGAGGGTACTGAGACCGAGAGTTCTGATTCTGGGGGTGCTGCGAGTCCTTCTGGTGTTGGTGTCGTCGGAGCTCCTACCGGAGGACCTGGAGCTGCTGGTGCTGGAGGTGCTAGAGGTGCTGGAGTTGCTAGGGGTACTGGAGCTGCTGGTGCTGCTGGTGCTGGAGGTGCTAGAGGTACTGTAGCTGCTGGTACTGGAGGTCCTGGAGGTGCTGCTGGTGCTGGAGGCCGTGAAGCTGCTGGTGCTGGAGGTACTGGAGGTGCTGCTGGTGCTGGAGGTCGGAGAGCTGCTGGTACTGGGGGTACTGGAGGAGCTGCTACTGCTGGAGCTGGAGGTACTGGAGGCGCTAGAGGTTCTGGAGGTGCTACTGGTGCTAGAGGACGTGTAGCTGCTGGGGCTGGAGGTGCTGGAGGTACTGGACGTCCTGGTGGAGCTACTGGTGCTCTTCGCCACCTCCTCAGTCTTCAGCCAGATGCTACTGGCTTCCCTGTGGCAGGTACTACTCTTCCGTTGCTGTGTCCACCGGCGGACCAGTCACTACCGCCACTGCTACCGCACTCCCCACTGCCTGCTCCTGCTCCTTACACTGCGGTGTCAGAGTCACTGACTGAGCGTCGAGAGCCTAAGACTCGTGCTTCCACCCCTGAGCGTCGAGAGCTTGAGTCTAGCTTTGACCTTGAGCCTGAGCCTAGAGCTGCTGTCCGTGCTCGTGTTCCTCGTGTTCGTCGTCCGCGTGCTCCGGCTGTCCCCGGCACTCACGATATGACACTCCGTCCTTCCTCTGTTCCTCAGCGTGTTGTCCTACCTTTACCTCCTGCGTCCTCTCTGCCTGATGTTGCCGACCCTCCGTCTAACCTTGCTCGTGCGTCCAGTCCGACTATTACTCGCCTTCTTACTACAGTTGTGACGGACCCTACGTTCTCTTCTCCAGCTGCGTCTGCCCTAGTGGCTGAGCTCGTTGACTTTGCTGCTGTGTACCGCCTCGACTACCTTGCGAGTCTTGTCTCTGACCCTGTCCCTGCCTGTCCTCCGTCCGTCGGGGGTGAGACTGCCCTTGGCTGTACTGCCCTTGGCTGTGACGTTCTTGAGGACAGGCAGGATGACCTCGAGTGCCTTGCGGCCGCTTCACCCCATCACGCGACCATGCTGCTTGCCCCTGAGGGAGACCCGGATGCACTTGACATCCCCACCCCGCGCTCCTACAGGGAGGCGATTTCGGGTGAGTACTCCTCTCAGTGGCAGACAGCTATGGACGCAGAGATGGCTTCCTGGAAGTCCACAGGCACCTACGTCGATGAGGTTCCCCCACCTGGGGCGAACATCGTCAATGGCATGTGGATTTTCAGGGTGAAGCGGCCGCCGGGTTCTCCGCCTTCCTTCAAGGCACGTTACGTTGATCGAGGCTTCAGTCAGCGTGAGGGGGTTGACTTCTTTCAGACCTTCTCCCCCACACCCGAAGATGACCACTCTTCGGGTGTTGCTACACGTTGCAGTTCAGCGTGACTACGAGCTGCACTCCCTCGACTTCACGACAGCTTTTTTGCAGGGTAGCCTTCACGAGGCCATCTGGTTGCGTCGTCCACAGGGCTTCACTGGGTCGTTTCCTTCTGGTACCCAGTGGAGCCTACGGCGACCAGTGCACGGCCTGCGTTAGGCGCCCCGCGAGTGGCACGACACACTGAGGACGACACTTGCGGCTCTTGGGTTTGCTCCTTCGACTGCTGACCCGTCGCTGTTTCTACGCACCGACACTACTCTGCCACCGTTCTACATCCTCGTGTACGTCGTCGACTTGGTTTTTGCTACTGCTGACACTGAGGCACTGGCCCTAGTGAAGGCGGAGCTGCAAGAGAGACACACTTGCACTGACCTGGGTGAGCTGCGGAGCTATCTTGGCTTGCAGATCACCCGGGACAGAGCACGACGCACCATCACCTTGACTCAGTCACACATGGTGCACCAGGTCCTTCAGCGCTTCGGCTTCCAGTTCTCCTCGCCTCAGCCCACTCTTCCGTCTACCGGCCACTCGCTCTCAGCTCCACCTTCGGACGAGTCCGTAGAGCCGAGTGGTCCGTACCCAGAGCTTGTGGGTTGCCTCATGTACCTGATGACGTGCACACGACCTGACCTCGCGTACCCTCTCAGCCTTCTGGCTCGCTACGTGGCTCCTGGTAGACACCGAAAGGTGCACTGGGATGCTGCGAAGAGGGTACTGCGTTACTTGTGCAGTACATCGGGCATGGGGCTCGTGCTTGGAGGACGGAGTTCAGTGGTACTCACCAGACACTCTGACGCTTCTTGGGCCGACGACCAGGCGACTCAGCGTTCGTCACAGGGTTACACCTTCAGTCTTGGCTCTGGTTCTGTCTCGTGGAGGTCCACTCGTTCTTCGTCTGTGCTTGGCTCCAGCTGCGAGGCCGAGATCTACGCTGGGGCCATGGTTGCACAGGAGCTACGCTGGCTGACCTACCTGCTGACCGACTTGGGGGAGCGGCCTCGTTCCCCTCCAGTTCTGTATGTCGACAACAAGGCAATGCTTGCCTTGTGTCGTGAGCAGAGACTGGAGCACAGAACGAAGCACATTGCTCTTCGCTACTTCCTTGCGCGTGAGCTGCAGCAGCGTGGTCAGCTGCGCCTTGCTTACGTGGCCTCTCGGGCCAACACTGCAGATGTCTTCACCAAGGCCCTTGGGTCTGGTGATCATCAGCGTTTCTGCACTGCTCTTGGGCTTGTGCCCACTCTGCCTCACCTGCTGGTTGCTTGACTTGCTCTTGTACACTGCTATATATATTTATACCTGCATGTTTAATCCTGCTAGGTTGTGATCAGTGTACTGCCTTGCTATTTATAAATCTGCATGTGAACTGGCCTTGTGGCCGCCTGCTTGTGCTCAGATTGTGTGGTGTCCTTGAGATCCACCCTGGGCTTTGCCTTGCTTGTTCTCTTGCTTGAGTGGTCTTGTGACCACTGTTCGGTTTGGCTATCCCCTACTTCACCTATGGGGGTGTGTCAAAACATATTGTTTGTTCATGTTACTTTAGGTTGTGTAGGGGTCACACCTTAGAGGGTACAACCCAACTCTCTCGACATCCTTGTACCCCCTCCCTCTCACCTAATCCACACTTCTTCCTAGCTAATCTCGACAGACGACGCCATCACTTGCGGCGCTCGCGGGTTGCCCCACACTTCCGTGCTGTGATGCCTGTGGTGCGGGCTGAATCGGAGTGCCAGGTGCTTGGGATTGTGCTCGTGTGAGGTCGTTTTGCAGGGACGAGCGTTCTGCCGTCAGCGTCGCAATTTCCTCGGCGCTCTCGCGGATTTGTCGCAGCAGATCGTTCAAGTGCTCCTGCGTGAGAGTCGTGACGTTGATATGTTCAGCCATTTCGAAGGGCGTCGGCTCGTCTTAGTCTAGGCGCAGTCGTGGCTGCACGCGTTGACGAGAGAACGAGAGGACAGCGGCTCCTAGGTGCTAAGGTACGTGAGTCCCTTCGAGTGAAAAAATAAAAAGTTGATTTCCTGGGGTGCGGAGATGCGCGGTCCGAAAAGGAAAGAGGCTCTGAATACCAAGTGTTACGGGTGCAATGAATCGAAGTAGCGAGAATTGCACTAAGGTGTCAAACGAGTAGAAAATGTGAGCGAAGGCATGAGCGATCATTTATACGCGAAACATGCAAACGGTAACGTGGTGCGTGCGAGCTAGCTAGTGCTACGCTGGAAGCGAGGCTCGGGCTAGTCCCGAAGCGTAGGCCGACACGGCCAGGCCAGCAGTGCGAGGTTTGGGGAAACAGTGCGCGCGAAGTCGGCGAAGCCCCGTTAGCAGTAACGGGCGAACAACGGCTGCTGCTGTACGCGATGTTGCAGGGTGCGCTAAAGAATATCGAGAAAATTCCTTACAGACACAGATTAGTGATTGCTGTAGGTGTTATCTAGCAAGCCATTTGTATTGCACATGTAGCTACATGAAAATCAGCACACAGAGGGTTGCTGTAGTGTTCTCACCAACGCACTCACACTACACACAACGCACACTCACTATAGTGGGCCTAGTAGCATGCTAAATACAAGGCACAGGTCGCACCCATGATTTTGCAGCCCATATTTCCCGGCTAAGCGGACAACCAGAATAGCTGGGTTCCCGAAGCACACAGATAGCAACCCCAGTGACGTAGCAAGGAGAAAAACTGCCTCGTCCGCAACACGTACTCTACACTGGCAGCACCATTCCACTGGCACGTCACCAGCGAGGTAACGACCATTGATCAGTAATCAATACCCGACTCCATCCCAGTCCATCCAACTCCACCGCAACCCACGCCACTGCAGCTGCTCCGCATCTCTCCAGCTCCAGATCCTTTATAGCGCCTTGCCAGGTGCAACCATTCTATCTTGCATGCCACCACACCACACACCTTTCACACACTTTAGACTACAATTACAAGCGTAACACGCGTGCTCTTGTCTCGTCCCCACCCGGAAAGCCCAAAGCAACAGCTGGGAAGCTTCGCCGAGAGGGCCAGAGGAACTGCGGCCAGTACGGGTTCAGCCCAGAAAGTCGACGTATCCGGAGAAAAAAGCGACGGCTAGGATGACGACTGGGGGGCCGAGAACAAGCGCGCCGATTGTGGCGAAGAGCGGCGAGTCGTTCCGCTCCCCCACCTTGCTGAGCAGCGTTGCGCGCGCCAGGTTGCGCTTCTGCGCGGGCGTCCAAGCCGCGAGCGGGTACGAGGCGGAGAGCACGCGCCGCCGCCCGCCGATGGGGAGCGGGATGGTGGTGCCGTCGGGAAGGGAGGTCGGGGAGGACATCTGCAGCTGCAGCTTCTGCGCCACCGTGAGACGCGGAGCGGAGGCGTCTGATGCGGGGACCCGGGGAGGAATGGGGGTGGGATGGGGGGAGGAGGGGGGGTGAAGGTGGCGGGGGAGGGGATACGGGGAAAGAGAAAATCAGCAGCGGCAGAAGCGGGTATGCCGATGGAGGCAGGAAAGGATAGGGACGACAGACGCATATCGTGTGTGCGATTTCCGGAAGACTCATTCCTGTTGAATGACGCCTCGTTTGCATCACATGGAGTGCACAGCCAATCACTTACAGCTGTAAGTGACCACGTACGTCTTAAGTCCGTAGTGGTCAAGCATTCGGTGCGTTTTGGCCTGCTTCACTGGTTTTGAGAAATCAGCGCTGTAGCAGCAGAGTTGATATCTGAGTCGGCAAAAGAAAGAAAGAAAAAACGGCTATCGCGGCGTACCTTCGCCCTCGGAATCTGAATATGCAGACGCTGCCGCGCCAGGTTGTGTCTCTTCTCTTGCCACTTTGGCTTCCACCGACTCAGCCCGAACAAGCACTGCGCCTCGACGCCCCCGCGCGGAAGCGGCGGAAGGTTGCGCGAATTCTCCGAGAGAAGGCGCGGAGAACGCTGCGCTCTGGCGGGAGAGTGGACGACCGGATGATCCGGAGCGGAGCGGAAGAAGAGGGGTCGCGCCGGCGGAAGAAGCATCAGAAGCCGCGGAAGCGGAGGGAGGGGTGGCGAGCCGCGCAGTCGGCGCTAGGGCTGTGGCGGCGATGGATGCCATGACGACGCAGCGGGATTCTTACAGGTTTTCGCGAGGCGCGGTGAGGGACGAAGGACCCGACGTGAGCTGACGATGTTCGTTTTCAGCTGCAGCAAGATTTTGCAGGATGATCGACCTCCTCCTCCTTGGCTGTTGGCCGGGATGGACCAGCAGCTGCGGCACGAAAGAATGCAGTATTTCGAGAACACGATGTGAGGAGGAGGAAATGAAAGATTCGCCGAGCAGTCTTGGCTTTTGAGGAAGCGATATGGGGAGTCGGGAGGAGAGGAGTGAGCTGACGCGCGGACAACAGCGAGTGAAGCGAGCTGGCAGGCAGCTGTTTTTATTTTTTTCCGAGTCTGCTTTTGTCGGTCGAGGGCAGGAGAAAAAACGCATTGAGGTGTGCGATTCGGCGGAAGGCATTTGCGCACACCGCACTGCGCTGCGCCAGTGATCTTTGTTCAACAAGCAGGGGGGATGCGGAAGTTGGCGGACGGGAGACTGAACCACGAAGCAAGAAAGCAAGACGAGGGAGCCCACGCGCAGAGTCGGAAAGCGCAAACGTGCTCGGTCGGGGACCTTTCGGAGTTGTTGTGAAAGGGGAGGTCTCCGCGTGGCAGGGTCGCGGGGAATTTAGCGGTCGCAGTGCCGTTTGGTTTGGGGAGTGTGCTGTGCTGACCTGGCAGGTAGGGCAGCTGTGAAATTCAATGATGGCTTGATTCACTCACGGGCAGCGTTGAAGTTTGTCGGTTCACAGTATCCATTGGACAGGACGAGGGCTTGGGAGTCGAAGGTCAACAAGGTTTCACCAGGTGTGAATGACGTGGCGATGAATCTCGGGGCTGATTCTGGAATGAATTCGCCGGGATCCCATGTACTTGACACTAGCAGATGCGTTTGGTGCTTCTGTGCATTACGCTTCGGTGGTTCTTATGATTGTGCATATATATATATAATCGAGAATAATATCGATCAGCAAGACATTTTAGAAGAGATGAAGCAAATTACCTGACAGTATATACCATACAATCCAGAAATATACAAAGAAAAACAATGGAATCGAACTTTAATCAATACAAGTCATGGATACAATATTCCACCAATCCAGTTCAGCTCCTGACCTGACCTCACCAGCTCCACCAGTCCCTTCTCCCTGAACCTGAAGGTCTTCCCTCTCTAAAAGCGGTCCCTTCAGACCTCCACCTTGCCGGGCCAGTCCCAATCTCATTCCCTAACCCTGTCTGCCCATCACCCATCGTTCTTCCACTGTCCTTCCTAGCAGAGCCAGACATGCCATTCCCAGAAGCTTCCTCACTGCTCCCAGCAGTTCTTCCACCACCAGCGCCTGCCCCTTTGGCTGCCCCCACCATACCTGCTGATGGAACATTACCTCGCCCCATCAGCACCTTAAACTCCGGGCTTCTAGCCCATCGGTCCACCTCTCTAGCGCGCAGGACGGGCAACGGGTGCGCCAGCTGTCGCGTCTGCGCATTCCGTAGGTACCACGATAGTGGCCCGCTATTTGCAGCCTCGTCATAAGACCTCGCTTGCGCCAAAAAAGCGTCAACACTCAATTCTTCTGCCCACCAGCTACCCCTGCTACCCCCGCCCTCATTCCCCCCTGCGCCAGCAGCCCCCGCGGACGACCCCGCCCTGGCTCCCCCCATCCCCGACCAGCCCCAGTCATTTCCCCCGGGGCCTCCCCCCGCGCGCCCCACACCCCATCCGCTTCCGCCTCCGCTAGTGCTTCCGCCCGCGAGCTTCATCAGTACGGATACGACCACGCGGGGATCGCGCACGACGACCAGCGCCGCGCGGTCGCACGTCAGCTCCGCCGCGCGCAGCCACCGCAGCAGCTGGTCTTCCAGCCCGCGCGCGAGCATCGTGCCGAGGAATCCCGGCAGCGAGCTCGCGGCGCCGAGCGCGAGGAGATTCGCGAAGGTGAGCCAGAGCCCGTGCTCGCACTTTAAGTGCCCTAACTCGTGCGCGAGCACGGCCTGGACTTCGATCGGCGAGAGGAGGTCTAGTAGCGCTGTATGAACCACCACAAACGGCTTCTGGCCGTTGATCGCGAGCGTGTACGCGTTAGGAACGGGGCTCTGCCGCACATATAGGTCCGGCGGCGACGGCATGTCGAGCGCGGCGGCCGCTTCTTCCATTAGCGCGTGGAGGGACGGCAGCTGCTGCGGGGAAACGAGCACTCCCGACCCGAGATTTTCCAGCACGAGAATCTGCTCCTGTACCGGGCCTAAGAGCACGCGGCCGAGGTCGTTTAACCCGGGAATTGCGCGCAGGAGCGCGGTGTTCTGGCGGTCCAGCGGGTGGCGGATGTCATCGGCGCGCAACCCGCGGAGCCGGTGGCGCGCGGAGGCGGAATTGGCGGCAGCTGCGGATGCGGAGGAGGCGGCGGAGGCGGAGAGTGAGGAGGATTGACGGGCAGGAGAAGTGTCAGAGTCCGAGTCGGATGAGCTCGACGTGTGATTGGCTTGCGGGACGCCGCTCCCTTGTCCACGCGACGGCGCTGCAGTCCCCCCACTAGATCCCCCAATCGCAGCGACAATTGACTCCCTACTGCCGGCGCGTCGCCCTCCTTCCCGGAATCCTCGCTGCGCGGATCTATTCCATTCTCCATGGATGCTCCCTGCTGTACGCGCAGGCTCGCCGCTGAGAAAGTCGTGCACCCGTCGTCTAAGAGGCAGAGTGCATTGCGGCGCGCCCAGTGCGCGCGACGTGCGCGATGGGAATGTGAGTGCGGAAGGATAGGGTAGCGGCGGAAGTGCGTGAAGGTGCGCCGGTACAGCCATGGCGATAGAGCGCAGGAGGCGGAGAGTTGGGCGGCACACAAGCGATACGGCAGTATGGCCCAGTTTTTACAACTCCTGACGAGTCAGAGGAGAAGAAACTAAGAGGCAGGAGCAATGCGCCCAGTAATTTGAGTTTTTCCAGGTCAGAAACCAGACGCACTCGTTGGGGTTCGCAGTTGCCAGTGTCTAAAGCACAAACTATTGTTAGTCGATATACCAGTGTAGCACAGTATTGTACAACTACACAGTCGAAGTGTCCTCTCCTCTGTAAGCGCTGTACAGTAATGGTTTCGTTTGGATGTCGTTGCTGATTGTTGTTCGGCTTTTCAGACGAGAGTGGACGAGGAAAATCTGCAACCTCCCAATTTGCCTGCCCAATTCAACAATCAACCAGTAGGAATGCAGAAAGTTATCCACAGATTGGGGTCTGCCCCTTGTGGTTGGGCAGCTCTGCGCGGGGGCGCAAGAAGACTGTCGCTGTTCAGAGCAGGTTCCGACGAGTCGACACATCATTGCACCTCGTGATGAGGTGTCACAGGATTTTAGTGGACAGGAGAGGAGCACATGAATCGCGGTGGACGCAGCCGGTTCGACCACGCGGTGAACACAGCTGCAACGCGATCATGAGGGATCAATTCGTCAATTTGATATAATGTCGAAGAGCGATCTAGTGTGCAGAAAAACACCAGAATATATAAGCTCCCACACACCACAACTACGTAAGCATATTTTACAAAACTGTCAAACCAGCAATCAGCCAGAAACGTTCTAGACATATCACAAATCACCGGTTATCACAGCTATCTACCCATCGTGCCTTTCCCCAAACCAGCACCTCCACCAAACCCACCATGTCCACCAGTAGCAAGGCCGGGAACACCAAGCGGAGGGACTAGAATGAACTGTCCGGGCTGGTACGTGCAGCCAAGATAGAGCATCTTTGTGTTATCCATGGTCTCTTTATCCTCGGCATCGCAGTACGATTTCATAGCTGTCTCCTGCTCTTCCTTAGATAGATGATGCTCCACCTCCCGAAGCAGAGGCTCGTGCTCATGCCACCTGACAATCCACCTGAAAAAAAAAAAAAAAACAGAAAGGTTTAGAGAAGGCGTGAGTAGGCACGGAAGGTGATGCGAGGAGTGGAAAGGAGAGTCCAACAAAGAGAGGTGGACGTGGAGGGGGCACAAAGCAAGAGGCAAGGACGACGTAATGTGAAAGGTGTGTGGAAGAGAGAGCATCCCACCTGTCCTTGTGATCTGCCAGGATCTTCCGCATAATTGCATCTGCTATCTCCCCCTCCTTTCCCTCCTCAATCCCGCCTCTCTGCCCTTGCTTCCCCGACCCTCCCTCCTTCTCGCTCTTCTGCTGTTGCACACCCTCCTGCTGCTGCTCTGCGTGTTTCTCCGCGTGCGAACCGGTGTGGTGTGGAGCATGAGAAGCGTGAGCATGAGAAGCATGTTCATCATCAAGGGAGTAGAGCCCGTCCAGGTCACGGTCTGTGAAGTGCCGCACCACCTGCTGCTCATCCACCACTCGTGCTGCCAACCCCTCCTTCACCACCTGCCACGTGCCCATGTGACGACATGACATGATGTGATGACAAAACGATCTCCGAATGATATGATACTACGAAGAAGTGACGATTGGATGATGATAATACAATAGGAATGATGAGGTATGGACGTGGCATGGTGGCAAGGTGGCGTGGCGCACCTGGCGGTTGTAGATCTTCTCCTCCATGGTCCCTGCTGCCAGCAGCCTGTACACAAACACCTTCTTGTTCTGCCCGTACCTGCTCACATGCCGATGGGTGCCATGCAGCAATGGGGAGGATAGGCAAGGATGAGAATGCGGACGAGGGAGGATGGAGAAGGAAAATCTGTGGAAAGGGGAAGGGGCCTCTTGGAAAGGGAGGGACACATGCTGACCAGCCAATAATAGAACTGAATGAAACAGAGTGTCGCCTCTCCATCCCCCACATTTTCTTGGAAATGCAGACAATCCCCTGAAAAAACCACGACCCCTTGTCTTCCCCGCTTCCTCCATCCTCCCTCCCTCCTTCCCCCCTTTTGCCCCCTCTCCGGCTTCCAGCGCACGCACCGCCACACACGGAACATGGCCTGCAGGTCGTTTCCCCCCTCTCCCCCGTCCTCCCTCCCCTCTTCCCCCTTTGCCCCCCTCCCCAATTCCCTCACACCCCCCCTCCTTCACCCCCACCTCCCCCACGCACCTCCAAACTCGGAACATGGCTTGCAAATCATGCGCAGGGTTCCAGGACCCGTCCAGCAGCACCACGCGGTTAGCCGCCACCAGGTTGATCCCCACCGACCCAGCGCGCGTCGAGATCAGCACACACCGCGCCTGCCGGTTACTGCACGGCTCATTAAACCTGTTTACTATCGTCTGCCTCCTCGCTGCACTCACCGACCCGTCGATCCTGGAAGGAAGGGAGGGTGAGGACGAGAGACGGGAGACCAGTCAGGTGCACAGCAGAAGGCAGGAGTGGGGTGTCTGGGGGCATCTGCCTAAGCCTGCCAGTTGCTGCGCGGCTCGTTGAACCGGTTCATTATCGTCTGCCTGTGCGCCGCACTCACAGACCCGTCGATTCTGGGAAGAGGTGAAAAGGGGGAGGGTGGGTGGGAGAGGGTAGGAGGGGTTGAGAAGAGGAAAGGAGACGGGAAAGTCTGGGATCGGTTTGGAACTGATCAGGCCAGGCGTGCAGCAGGAACAGGAACGGAGCATACCTGTACCAGTGCACGCCTGCCGTCCACTTGGCACCCACACCAGCTCCAGCAGCAGCAGCAGCAGCAGCAGCAGCAGCAGCTCCAGCAGCAGCAGCAGCAGCAGCAGCAGCAGCAGCAGCAGCAGCAGCAGCAGCAGCAGCAGCAGCAGCAGCAGCAGCAGCAGCAGCAAGGGAATCGAGCATGTCGGCCAGCAGCAATTCCAGGAGGTCGAGAGTGAGCAGCAGCGACTGGCTGAAGAAGAGCACCTTGTCTCCCGCTGCTGCTCAGAAACATGCTTGGAGGTCAGAACATACCTGTACCAGTGCACGCCTGCCGTCCATTTGGCTCCAACACCGCCAGCAGCACCACTGGGGTCGAGCATGTCGGCCAGTAGAAGTTCCAGGAGGTCGAGTGTGAGCAGCGACTGGCTGAAGAAGAGCACCTTGTCACCCGCTGCTGCTGCCTGCTTGAGAATATCCAGAGCGATTGTGAGCTTGCCACTCACCCCCAACCCGCCCTGCCGTATCGCCTCCTCTTCCTCCTGCCACCACGACTGGGGGAGAGAGAGGGGTGGAGGGGAGAGAGGAGCGGGAGGGTGAGAAGGCGACGAAGCGAAGGGTCGAGAGAACGAGAAGGGGGAGAGGGAGGAAGAACAGGGAACAGGGAGAGGGGCGAGCACGCTTGCTGGAATCTCAAACCATGCACATCCGTCTCACAAACTCATGCACACACATGCCAGCTGATACTCTGTCAGTCCTTGCCACATGCATTGTCAAGAGCCGACATAGTGGCAGCAGCAGCTGGTGGGGCGAGTTGAGACACCTACAAACACACCCATTCCGCCTTCTCCTCGAGCTACATACATTGTCAAGAGCCGACACAGTGGCAGCAGCAGCAGCAGGTGGGGCGAGGGGCGAGGCAGCATCGGCAGGAGCGTCAGTATCAGGCTCGGTTTCATCAGCCTCCTGGCGACGCATGGTGAGGATGAAGGGGTGCGTCCACACCTGGGGGTACAAAGTGGTGGGGGAGGGGGGGGGGGGGGGGGGGGGGGAGGTTGGGCGAGAGGTAAAGGGGCGAGGGACGGAGGGGAGTGAGGAACAAACAAAAGTATGGCTACAGGGCAGAAGCAGCCTTGGTAGCAGCTTTGGCGAGTAGACACGGTGAACACGTGGCCCTTGAACGGCCATGAGAAGTGTGGGTGCAGGCGAGCGGCGAGGGGCGACGGGTGGGGGTGGGGGCGAGGGGCGGGGCGAGAGTGGGGAACAAGCGAAGAGGCTTATGGTTGTAGGGCGGGAGATGGATCAGAGCATCAGACAGCATATTCCTAGTCGATTGGTAGCTTAGCATCAAATTGCCTTGGCGAGTCTTAGAATCACCTTGGCGAGTCTTAGAATCACCTTGGCGAGTCTTAGAATCACCTTGGCGAGTGCCGCATAGGACGCAAAGAGTGTCCTCCTCTTGTCTTCCACTCCCCCCGACGCCGCCCCACCCCCACCAGCACCACCAGCAGTAGCACCAGCAGGAGCAGTAGCAGGAGCAGCAGCAGCAGCACTGCCAGAAGCAGCGGCAGCAGAGTCGGCTGCTTTTCTTCCGGGAGGCGAGAGCCGGCCACTAGAGCAGGCAGCAAGCTTGGGGGAGGTGCGGGGCGCAGCAGAGGGAGGGGAGGATCCGGGGGCAGCGACAGAGGCCGACGGGTGGGGGGGGAGAGGAGAGATGGGAGACGAGGTGCCGGGTGGTGGTGGAGAGGAGGAAGAACCCTTGCGGGCTGACTGTGGGGAAGCAGCAGCGGCAGCAGCGGCAGCAGCAGCAGCAGCACCAGCAGTCGCAGCACCACCACCAGCAGCAGCAGCGGCGGCGGCAGCAGCAGCGACAGCAGAGCTGCGATACGCCAGGAACCGCAGGTACAGCGAGCGCTGCAGCGGGCTGAGTCTCACGGCCACTACGTAGACGTATCGGTCGGGCAGCTCATGCGCGACAACATCTGCTGAGCGGCGCTGCACAAATCCCTTGAGGAGGTTCGCGAGCACGTAGGAGCGCTCGCGCATGAGCCGCACGTCTGACTTGTCCGAGTCGGAGCGCTGGCCGTTGATGATCGGGTTCTCGAACCTGGAAGTAGTGGGGATGGGGGGGCGTGGGAAGGGTGGGAGGGGGTTGAACGTGGGAGGGAGGGGAGGGAAGGGTGGGAGGCAGGCGAAGCAAGTGAGTGGCGAGGGGAAAGCGAGGGGATGGGAGTCAGAGCGCTGGCCGTTGACGATGGGGTTCTCGAAACCTGAGGGTGTTGGAGCCGTTGGGTGCGGAAAGGGAGGGAGGGGGTTATTTGAGAAAGAAGGAAGAGTGCGGATTGACCATGGGTTTTTCGAACTAAGTGGGCGTGGTTGGGTTTCGGGAGAGGGGAGGCCTGGGAGGCTGTTGGACGGGGCCAGGGAAGGAAGGGGACCGCAGAAGAAGTGAGTGTGGGGGGAACCGAAGCAAATGAAAGGGACGCAGTTGGAGTCCCTCCCTTTCCCTCCCATCCTCCTTCCCATCACACCTCATCCCATCCCATCCCATCCCATCCCATCCCATCCCACCCCCCCGCATTCCAATCCATCCCACACGCACCTGTTTTTGAACTCATGTGGCGTGCCCAGGGTGCCCTCGCGTACAAAGTCCACCATCTGAGGGCGCGCAGGGGGGTGGGGGGAAGAGAGGGAGGGAGGGAAGCGAGGGAGTGAGGGAGGGAGAAGGGTAGTAGAGGTGTAAGCAGCAGGACCAGTGAAGGTTGTTCTACAGCAACAAAATTGACTTCATATAAAGTCTGGGGCAACAAGTTGGCGAGTGAAATGCGGCGCTTCAACTTGTTGGCAACAAGCTTCAGTAGTGCTTACCCAATTCACGCCCTCCCCCTTTCCCTGTCTGCACTCCCCAATCTTCCCCGGCTTCCCCCGCTTTCCCTTCCCCCCCCCCCCCCCCTCCACTCACACAATAGTACTCAGTGAGGTTGTTCTGCAGGGGCGAGCCAGTGAGAGCAATGCGGCGCTTGGTGCGCACGCACTTGAGAGCAACCGTCGTGTCCGCCTTGTCGTTCTTGATCGTGTGCGCCTCGTCACACACCAGCAGGTCTGGCCCTGGGTCCTGCGGGACGGGGAGAGGAAGAGAGTAGGGGGGAAGGGGGGAAGAGGGGGGGTCGAGGGGAGGAGGGTACTGGATTAGAGTGTTGTGTGGCGTCTCGTGTGTGTGCTGCATGTGGTGTGGAGTGGTGTGTAAAATAAGCACCGCTGTGTTGGCCAAGAGACCTTCAGGCATACCTGCACGCGCGTTCTGCAGTTGTGGGGGAGCGGAGCGTCTCCTTCTGCACGTGTACAAGGCATGCCGCACACCCCTCACCTGCGTACCTGCAGCAAGCCCTGCAGGCATGTTTAAAAAGCACCCTCCCGGCATACCTGCAGGCACGTTCTGAAGGTGTGGCGGAGCGGAGCAACTCCTTCTGCACGTGACCCTAAACCCAGGCACAGCATGCGAAATACACCCTCATTCTCACCACATGCACAATCGCCACATGAACCGGGCGCTTGTAGTGACTGCAACGTGCCTAGAATGGTGCTAGGACATACCCTACAAGCACAATCACGACTGCCACGTTGGTAGTGCATGACTTTGACTGGCCAGGAAGTGTACAGTGCGCTCGCATGTGTGGTTGGCTGCTGTTGCTTTTCGCTCTACCATACATTACCCCTTTCTACTGAACGTAGATATTCTGTATGTGCTTTGAACCCGTGTTCGGAATTGTCTGTTTCTTGTGTGTTTTGATGTGGAATCTTTGGCCACAGTGTAGGACAAAGTCAACAGATCATTTCGAATGTTCTATTTTGGCGCTTGGTGCATGGTGTGCCTGGCAACATTAGGGGGTTCGGCCACATGCACAGTGGCGCTACCTGACAACACTGTAGTCGCTGCTCCCGATTGTGCGTAGTGCATTTAGACAGACGTCTCAGGGCCCTGCCGGCATGTGTGAACAGAACAGCACCCTCCCACACACCTGCAGGCACGTCCTGAAGGTGTGTCGCAGCGTCTCCTTCTGCACGTGTCTCGAGACGTCTCAAGGCACTAAAGGCATGTTCATAAGGCAACCCCTGCAACATACCTGCATAGGCAGGTCCCCACATACCTGCAGGCACGTTCTGAAGGTGTGTCGCAGCGTCTCCTTCTGCACGTGAGTGCCCAGGCACAGCATGCGAAACGCCTGGTACCCGATCAGCATCACGCCCCCTCCCTCCTTCCACCTCCTCAGCTGCCTCGCTCTCTCCGCGTTCGCCCTGCCAGCATCATCAAGCAGATACACCGGTATACCCGACAAAGTTAGAAACGCCTGCTTGATGATGCTGCCAGGTGTCAATGGAACGAAACCCGTCCCCTCCCCACTGCCCCACCGATTGCACTACACACCTTCCAGCATCGTCAAGCAGATACACTGGTATATCCACCTCCTCCCTCTGCTCCTCCTGCCCGCTCTTGGGCCCTGACCACGTCGCTGGCCCTCCCCTCCCCCCTCCCACTCCATTGCCTCCTCCCTTACCCGCTCCTCCCACTCCTCCTGCCCCTTTTGCAGCAGCACCGCTCCCCACCACTGGCATCCACCGCCGAAACTCCTCCTTCCAGTTATGCAGCACGTTCACAGGCGCGACAATCAGCACCGTTCGGAGCCCGTGCGAGTGGAACTGGTTCAGCACAGTGTGCACGAAGGTGATAACTTGGAGGGTCTTCCCCAGCCCCATGGAGTGCGCGAGAATGCACCCGAACCCCGGGTCCCCGCTTTGAACGAGCGCCATGCTGTGAATGCAGTTCTGCCACATGAACCGCACGCCCTCCACCTGAGAAGAAAAAGAGGGAAAGGAAGAAAGGGTGAGACGTCCGCCCAATACAAGGCAGCACAACCAACGCTTTTCACGAGCGCCATGCTGTGAATGCAGTTCTGCCCCATGAACCGCACGCCCTCCACCTGAGAGGACAGGCGAGAGAACGGATGGGAAACGACAGTGAGATATCCGCCCAGTAAAAGGTAATACAGCCCAACCGTTCCTGGGCATTGTCCAGTGGGAAGTGCCCTTGGTAGCGCCTTGGCAGCCCCTTGCACGCCCTCCGCAACCCCCCCCCCCCCCCCCCCCTCCCCTCTCCCCCTGCCATCGCACACACCTGGTGGTCTTTGAGGCACTCTGAGATGAACGAGTGGATACGCACGCCGATTCAGACTCCTTTTTGTGGCACCTAATAAATGCCCCTCTCCCCCTTTCCCTTCCCCCCATCACACGCACCTGGTGGTCTTTGAGGCACTCTGAGAGGAATGGGTGGATGCATACAGCAGGTTCAGAGAGCGCCCTGAGCTTGTTGATCACCACACACCCATCCTGCTGCACCTCCTCTTCTTCCTCATCCTCTTCCCCGCAATCTCACCTGGTGGTCTTTGAGGCACTCTGAGAGGAACGGATGAATACACACAGCAGGTTCAGACAGCGCCCTGAGCTTGTTGATAACCACACACCCATCCTGCTGCACCTCCTCCTCTTCATCCGCCTCGTCCTCCTCCCCTCCCCCTCCCCCCTGCTCCATCCTCTGCCTGCGCCTCTTCTGCCGCCACAGAGGCTGCTCCTTCAGCTTCTCCCGCTCCTCCCTCATCCTCCTCCACTCCTCTTCCTGCTCTCGCCGGCGCTGGTGAGAAGAGGCGAGGGAGAGGTGGAAAGAGGTAGAGGGGGGGGGTGGGGGGGGGGGGGGAGGCGAGGGAGAGGTGGAAAGAGGTAGAGGGGGGGGGTGGGGGGGGGGGGGGAGGCGAGGGAGAGGTGGAAAGAGGTAGAGGGGGGGGGTGGGGGGGGGGTGTGATTGAAAAAAGAATTAGAGAAGAGGCGCGCAACGGACGAAGGAAGAAAGGGAGCCCTTCAAAGGGAGCGTGTGGGAGGGAAGGAAGGGAAGTAGGCAGAGAGGCAGGCAGAGAGGGCAGAAGGACGGGGGTGGCGCAGAGGAGCAGTAGCAAGGCAGCATGGGCATTACCCGTTCTCGCTCCAGCGCCTGTTTGGTCTTGGCACCAAGCTGATCGTCGCTGATAATGGGGACCCGCCTCCTCTGCTGCTTGCCGCTGCCACTGCCACCAGCCGGGGCATCGGGGGATAGTGCATAATAGAGTTGTTAAAGGCTTTAAGAATCGTCTCAGCATGGGCCTAGGGGTGCAGGGGCACAGTGGAAATTCCCATGCACCATGCGTTGCAGGGCACACTGCAGCACGAGTCACAACTCCCACCACAGTCACACGTCTGTCACAAGTCACACACATGCCACAAATCCCTTTTGAGCTCGCAAACTTACCTCTCAGCATTTCTTCCCTCCGCCTCCCTCTCGCCTCCCTCCCCTCCCTCTCCCCGCGCCTTCTCCTCCCGCACTCCCTCCAACCCCGCTCCCTTCTCCCCCTCCCCTTGACCCTCCTTCTCCTTCTTCCCCCACACGCCCCTCGCTGCCCGCACCCCCCTCCGCGCCACCACCTTCGCCCCTTCCGCCTGCAACCCAGCCAGCGGACCAGCATCACAGCAGAAGCACTTCCAGGGATTCCCCCCTTCTGGATCAGAGCTCTCTATCCTTCTATACTCTGCCGCCCCAAAGTTCCTTAACACGCAGGTGCGGCAGAATGTGAAGCGGCACTTGGGCGTGTCACAGAGCAACAAGTGGCCTCCCAGCCCGCACCAGTGGCACTGCTGCTCTGTACCGTCCGATTTGTCCACAGAAAAGGTCACATTGATGCGTGGCACGTGGCAGGTTCGGCAGAGGGGGACCGAGAGGGTGCTATGCACTCGGGCCCTCTTAGCCGGTGTCTCTTGCCCGCATACGGTGCATCGTACCAAACACTCCTCCTCTTCCTCCTCTTCCTTCGCTCCTTCCTTCCGTCCCGCTCTGCCCACAACGCCTGGTCCCCTCACTGCGCCCTTCTCTACCTCCCTATCCGACTTCCCACGCGTCTCCCCCACTACTATCACATCGTCTGACTCTTGGCTATCGGATCCCAACACCACCTGATCCTCCCGCACCTCCCCCTCCTCCAACTCCTCCCCCTCCACCTCCATTCCACTGCTGCTGCTAGTACGGATCATCTCCACGCCCTCACTGTCGCTGCTACCGCTGCTGTCAGTAGAAACCACCAGCACAACTCGTGGTCGCTTGCCCTCTCTCTCCTCCTCCTTCTCCCTCCCTGCCTTGCTCTCCCCAGCAGCTTTACCCGTCCCTTGGGCCGGTTTCCCTGCCGTTCCCTGCTTCCCATCACTGCCCCTCTCTTTTGCCATCTCCTGTTCCTGCTGCTTCTGCTTCTGCTGCTGCCGCTTCACCCTCTCCCTGACCCTCCTCCTTGCTTGCTTCATCTTCTTCTCATCGTCCCCATCTCTTATCTGCATCAAGGCAACAACAACCACCACACGGTCAGACATTCAAGCACACACAGAACCACACAAAGCCACACCACGGAGCAATTTTAAAAGCGCCCCAAGAACTAACAGAGAGAGGAGCACGAGTAGGACCACTGCACACTACACACCATCAGCCTACCCCACACCCCCACCCACCCACTCACCCACCCACCCGTCCACATACAGAAAACCAAGCTGAGAAAGAAGGTGAGTTTACCATCAGAGAAGCCATGTTAGTAGCTCCAAGCTCCCACCCACCTTGACCATGCTGGCCATCTGCTGTGACGTGAGCCCATTCTTTGCTTCCTCCACCACCGCTGCAGCCTCCTTCACCTCATTCATCTTAGGTTCTGCAATCTCCTCCACTTTTGCATTCAAGTCCAACGCTGCTGCCTGACAGGGGGAGTCCAGATTGTACAATCTCAGCAATTCAAACTCAGGCCGCGCCGCAACTGCTGCTGCTGCCGCCGCCGCTGCCGCAGCAGCTGCAGCCGCCGCTTTGCTGGATTTTCGTCCCTTTCCTGCAGCTGCTGCTGCCGCTGCGGCTGCAGAAGCGGTGGCAGCAGTGACAGCTTTGGAAACAGCTGAATCGTAAACGGTCCAAGTCTTGAGCATAGATGCTGTTGCTGCTGCTCGTAATGCGTTTGCACGCTGACCTCCTGCTCCTGCCGGTGCCGCGTCTGTCCCGTTCTCCTGTTCACTCCAACCCCCAACTGCACCGTCTCCCTTACTCTCCCCATCAGGTCCTGCTGCTCCTGCTGCTGCTGCTGCTGCTGCTGCTGCGTCAGGCGCTGTTGCTGCGTCAGGCGCTGTTGCTGCATCTGCTTGTATGGCATCCACAGCAGCCTTGGTCGCCTCGCCCACCATTGCCTCCTCGCAATCGCGCAGCAGCTGCTCCAGGTACCCACTCGCTCCAACCGGCGCCAGCCCCGTACTCGTCCTGCGCAGAGCATGTCGGGAGAAAAGGGTAAGGGGAATTTTGATAGCGACTTTTAGCACATCTCAGCAGCAGCCTTGGTCGCCTCGCCCACCATCTTCTCCTCGCAATCGCGCAGTAGCTGCTCCAGGTACCCACTCGCTCCTACCGGCGCCAGCCCCCTACTCGTCCTGCGCAGAGCAAGTCGGGAGAGAGGGGCATGGGGAATTTTGATAGCGGAGGAGTGGAAGAGCGTGCCGCTGTGCATAGAATACGCGCCAAACTCTCATTCTTTATTACTGCGGAATAATGGCGCGGGCGGGATGGCGCAGCAGGGACGAGGGCGTCAAAGAAACTAGACTTCAAAACAGGAGTGAAACAAGAACATGCACTGGACCATCGCTTCTAGAAAAAATAGTAGATAGGATGACTTTCCAGAAAAGGGCGCTCAGAAAAGGGCGCTCAGAAAAGGAACAAAAGGAAATGAGGGCGTTCATAACCAGTCCTTCCCCTTCCCTCTCGCTGCAAGCCTGCCAGCACACTCAACAAATCCCAAGTCAGACGGCCAAACTCACTCTGCAATAGGCCGTGCGTGCGCCAAAACTTTCTCAGCTGCCCGCACCCAGTCATCTTCATCCTCCTCATCCTCATCGTCCTCCTCTCCCTCCTCACTCTCTTCCTCACTCTCATCTCCCTCCTCCTCCCCTTCTCCCCGCTTCCTCTTGGCCGCCCGCTTGCTCCGTTTCCGCTCCGCCGCCCGAGCCTCGGCCCTCCTCCAAGCCTCCCTTTGCCGCCGAGCCTCAGCCTTGGCAGCGTCGCGCTTAGGGTCGGTGATCCAGTGCGAGCGCTCCTTCCAAGCCGCTGTGCGTGCTGCTTTTGACGTGTGCTTTTCAATGAAGGCGTAGACGGCTGGCAGGTCTATGCCTGGAACAGTATCGAGACACTCCTGAGATGGATGAGGGGAGGGGAGCGTGGTGGGGAATGGGGAAGGAGAGGGAGGAGGAGAGACGCGCGAGGAGAGATGAAGAGGGAGCATGCGTCAAGAAAGGGCTGCAGCCGTGCGTTTCAGAATGGCAACAGCTGCCACAGAAAGAGCGCCAAGATGTTCATCAAGCCGTCAACACAGTCAGATGCAGTAGCGAATGCCGTCAGCAAGGCTGAGCGGGAGACGGCAGTGTGCCACGATAGTGAGCGAACGGAACAGCAGGAATCCCACCTTCGCGTCGTACCTCCCCTCTCCCCTCTCTCCTCTTCCCTCTCCCCTCTCCCCTCTCCCCTCTCCCCTCTCCCCTCTCAGTCGTTCAAACACGCACAGACGCACGCATGCGTTCAGCTCTTGTTTGATTTAAAGCACCTCACGTGTTACAAACGCGCACCTGGGCCTCGGAGATCTTATCCAACAGCGCGTTCAGCTCCCTCTCCCACATCTCCTGCAGCGTTGCCATCTCCTCGTCCACCAGCACTGCTACCTGCACACACGGACCCGGGGACGGGAGGGAGGGAGGGAGAAAGGGCGGGTAAGGCCCTTTGAGGCGCTTCAAGTCTCACATCTCCTGTAAAGTTCCCATCTCTTCGTCCACCAGCACCGCCACCTGCACACACACGGCCGGAGCAGGGGAGGCGCGGAGGGAAGGGTGGGAAGCATTTTGAGGCGCCTAGAGGAACACATCTCCTGTGAATGGCGGAACTCGCGTGCATCAACACTTCCCCCTTACCCCTCCCCTTTCCCCCTGTAACCTTCCGCGAGGCTCACCTGGTCCGGGGAGCAGTCCGGGCGCGCGGAGCGGATCTCTTCCGCAACGTTGCTGCGCACGGATTCCATAGACTCCTCCTCCAGCGATTCCTGCGCCTCCGCCGCCTGCAGGGTGTTGGAAAGCGGATTTCACTTGTAAGAGATCAGCTTACGCGCACCGTATGTTTGAAAACATTTCTAACATAAGAAGCTGTCGTGTTGCTGTCGCGAATGCGAGGAACTCGTCTTCCTCTCTTGAACAGGAAACGTGCGGCTTACGTTCTTGCCCACTTCCCGCCTACTCTTAACATCGTCGCACAAATTTTTACTCCCGTCCGGTCGCACGCATGGCCAACGGCGTCGCACGGACTAGTAACTGCGTCGCACGCCTCGTCGCACGCACCTGTTCCTCCAGCAGCACGAGGTGGTCCACCAGCGCCTGCACCTCGTCGTCCGTCCACGGCCCCTCGCGATCCTGTAATTCGCAGACACGGTAACGAATCGAGAATGTCGCAAAGGCGTAACACATGTTTGCGAAAAAAGGTCGCGACCCCGACGTCCAAAGTACATCGCAAGAACGTCGCGAACACACATCACCGAGAAACGTGCAAGCGAGCGCAAACAGAATACAGCTTTCACGTGATAGTGACGACAATAATGTGTCTTTGGTTAAAAAAGGAAAGAGTGCTGTGCAGGAAATAAATGAAAGACAGAATGACGGGCTAACGGAATGACGCTGACTAACAGCAGAGTCTCCCTAGTACTTGTCGCGACAATCTTTCAGACTCCTGACGAACCTAACGCGCACTCACCGAGAGCGGGGAACCCTTGTTGCTTCCCGCTGTCGCCGCGTCTCCCTCCGCGTCGCTGCCGTCTTCCAAGTCCACCTCCTCGTCGCGCTCGCCCTCCTCCTCGCCCGCCTCGTCCACCTCCTCCTCCTCCTCTTCGCCCTCGCTCGCGCCCAAATCGCTGCCGATATCATCGCACATCACCTCCTCGTTCTCGCCGTCTGCTGCCGCCATCGTCGTCGTCGTCGCCTTCGTCGCCTTGGTCGCTAACGTCGCCTAGGGCAAGTTAATGCTTCTGGCACGCTGTAGCTTTCGCGGCTCAGGCCGGTTCGGTTATCCCCGCTTAACGCTCACGAAGCGAAACAACTTCAGATGTCAATATCAAACTCTTCTGCACTGCGAAAAAAAAAAAAACCAATGGCGTCGAATCAGATCGACAAACACCAGGAGCAACACGCTTTCAACATGCACATATCGTCGCAAGTCATCATTTAAGAAGCCCAATAGGCGAAGAGAAAACTGATATAATTATCCAACGGATATGAACTCTAGGCATAGGAGATCTCAGACGTCGCCCTTGTTACCTCTGATATTTTCGACCACAATGAACGAACGGACGTCCGTCAAGCACCCAAGTTTCCGCCAACGCCGCCAGATTCAATACGGACGCGTAGTGGACAGAAGGACCTCCGTGCGAGCGAAATATATGGCGAGTCCGTCATACGACACGAAGCGCAGGACTGTTCCGACTAAGAACCAACTCCAAGAATGCTAGCGTGGTTATGTTTAACTCGCAGGCTGAGTCTTCACTTATTGTAGCTGTGCTGGGATAGGAATGCGCAACACCTTCACGCTCGATGAACTTAACACGGTTCCAATGGGTGGGATACGCTACCAAGCGGTTTTTCATAATGACCGTTTTGAATCTCGAGAAAACATACTGAACCGTAAGGTACATAGTTTGAGCACACAAGACAACCCCCAAAATAACACCCTGCAGGGAGCGTGCGCCATGAATGGATGATGACTGGCGGAGTGGCAGGTTGGCAGGGTGGCAGAGCGGTGGGAGCGGGAGTGATGGCATACAGTTGCATGGCAATGTCATTCCCTCTGCTGTTTGTGCGTCTGAATGACGATTTTCAGAATTTGAATTGGCGCGATGCGCATTACTGGAAGTGACGCGCTAAACAGCAGAGAGAGACAAGACAGCCATTTCAAATTTAATAAAACAAAGCTATATTTTCATTAAAAAACCGAAGTTTAACAAAACGTATGAACTGTGGAAATTACATGCATGCGACTGTTCCTTATCTGAATTCTTGAACTGCACTCCATTTACTGGTGTGTGCCAAGCGTGACCAAGTGTGACCAAGCGTGACCAAGCGTGATCAAGTGTGACCAAACGTTCCCATGTGTGTCTGTTACAATCCCAAGTGGGACTTAGCGAAGGATCACTCAGGGTTGATCGCAGAGTAGTGTTGCAGCGGAAGTTTGAATCTCAGGTCAGAGTGATTGTAAATGACTGAGTTGATAAAAGCATGTATACATCGGGTTTATATAAGAATACAGAGGAATACGAAAAGGCCTAGACTAGTCATGTACTCTAAGGGGTACATTCCCTTATTACAGCGAAATTCAAACCGTGCGGCGCGCGAACCCGTTTCGAACCTGTTCCCGCTCTTTTCACTTCAAATGTTTCTGCTTGCGTCGGTCTTGGTCAGATGGTTGCTGCGTCGCTTCGACTCTTCTGACTCCTCGACTTCGTACTCGGTAGAGTCAGCTCCTGCAGCATACAGGAATGCCTTCTCATAAAACTTCATATCGTAACACTCCCCTTCCTTCCTGGGCGCAGGAGGAGCTGACTCGCTTGATTACTCCGGTGAGGTCAGAGCAGGGCTGACAATTCAAAAAAATCCAGTCTGATGTTCTGGGGGCTCTGAAAATTTTTAGTCTGAGGCATATTTCCCAGAGAATGGCCACTCTGATTTTTCAGGTTCCGCAAAAACACAAGTCTGAAGTACTCAGAACACACTACAACCACTGCAGTACAGTACTGCCACAAATGTAGCACGTGGGGCGCAACGCTAACCAGTTTCCCTCGCTGACACCGCGTAGCTGCAGTGATGGTCCCGCGTGAGTGGAAGAGTGAGCCAAGTTGGCAGATTTCTAAGGGAAAAGGGTGGCAAAAGTTGCCAAGGACAGATTCTGCGCGTGACAGCGCCATGAAGTGTGTTCGTACACTGGCAACATATGACGTAGCGGAAGGTACGTAGAAATCACAGATCCGCATTTCAGGATCCGTACTCCCTGTAGTATGAAGACCCATTATCGGCTAAGTCAGTACTCTGAAAATCTCAGGATCCAAAACCAAGTAAGTCTGAGGCACTCATGTTTGAAAATCTTACAAGTCTGAAAAATCAGGATCCGTAGGAAAATACCCTGAGATTTCAGACAATCAGACTATTTTAGTCTGATAAAGTCAGCCCTGGGTCAGAGCAGTGTTTGTACTGCTGACGTGGCAGGCGCTTGGTGAGGAAGTCTGCTGCCATCTCAGTAGTCGGGCAGTAGGCGAGGTCAACTTTTCCTTGGTCAATTTCGTCCTTGACGAAAAAGAACCGAAGTGCGATGTGCTTCGTGCGGTTCACGAAACCTGGTTTGTTCCCGATCCTGATGGCAGTCTGGTTGTCGCAGTGGAGGCGAAAGGTAGGCGAGGTTGGGATTTTCGCCTCCTGTAGCAGTTCCTGCAGGTACAGGTCTTCGCGAACTGCTGCTGTCGCGGCGATGTATTCTGCTTCAGCCGATGACAGGGCAACTAGCTCCTGCTTCTGCGAGTTCCAGGAGATTGGCCCAGTTGGTTCCAGGCAAAAAACGAAGCCGGTTCGGGACCGTCGATTTGCAGGGTCAGCTGCATGATCTGCGTCCACGTAGCCGTTGAGGTTGAAGGAGGTCGTCGTCAGCGTGGAGTAGGAGAGCCCAATGTCAGGTGTGGAGATGAAGTACTGCAGGGCGCGCTCCAGGTCCAGCTGGTTCTCAGCTACTGGCTTGCGGGAATACTGCGCTAGTTGGCTAGCAATGTACGAGAGGTCAGGTCGGCAGGTGTCAGAGGCGAATAGCAGGCAGCCCAACTTGTGCTGGTACATTTGAAGCCCTGCGGGTGACAGAGGTTTGTAGTTGGCGCTGGGGTTGCGGTAGGGAGTTGAGAGTGGTGCGGGGATGTTGAAGCGTTCCCCCAGCTGCTCTGCGTACTTGGACGCTGACAAGTGAATTGCTTCTGGCGCGTAGGTGATGTTCAGCCCCAAAAACTGCTTCACGTTGTGGTTGATGGTGATGTCAACGCGCTGCGCCAGGTTCTCATCGAACTGGTTAAGGAGTTTGTTGCAGGTGCCCGTGTACAGCAGGTCGTCGACGTAAACTGTCAGGAGAATGTAATCGCCGCTAAAGTGAAGGCGATACATTCCCGGGTCGTGCGGCAGCTGCTTGAAATCGATCTCTAGGAGAATTTTGTGCAGATGCTGCTGCCAGAGACGAGGCGCCTGCTTGATCCCGTAGAGGGACTTCTTCAGCTGACAGACCCTAGGGTCCCCTTCTCCGTAGGTGTGAGGCTGCTCCACGAAGATGGTAGCGTCCACCAACGCGTATAGAAACACGTTCTTCACGTCGATCTGCCGCAGTGGCAGGTGCTTAGCGGCGGCAATGGCGAGAAGAATCCTGACGGAGGTGTGACGACTGACGGGAGCGAAGGTCTGATCGAAGTCGATGTCGTGGCGCTGATCGTACCCTCATACGACCCAGCACGCTTTGAAACGTTCGATGGTGCCGTCAGCGTTGGTCTTCAAGCGAAAAACCCACTTTCCGCTGAGTACCCTCCTCCCCTTCACTGCTGCACGATCGACTAGGACCCATGTGTCTTGAGATTCCAGCGCTTTCAGCGCCGCATCCATCGCTGCACGCCACTCCTTGGTGTGAGGGCCGGTTAGGGCCTGGCGAGAATTCTTTGGCTCCACGGCCCGAGCGAGGGTGGTGACGGACGTGTGCAGGCCGAGAAGTAGAAGGCCTGACACATTGGTGGTGTCTGTGTTGGTGGGGACTTCCACCACGTCGTCGTCTCCGCTTTCGTAGCCGGGCGTTGTGGTGCTTGGCTCTGCTTGGCGCCGTGACGACCCTGGCGCGGGATCATCGTCACTGTCATCGTCGTCGTCGTCGCTCGGGCGAGGCGGGATACTGGGGTGTTCGTCAGTGTCATCGCGATCCAGTGCTGCTGCTGCTGCTTCGTCTTCTGGAGTCGCAAAGCTGCGACCGCTATTGACGTAGCCGCGTGCCTCGTTCCGCCGCTCGTCCTCGATCCACTGCTTCAAGGTGAGCCGCTCGTAGAAGAGAATGTCACGCGCAGGAACAACCTCCTTGCTGTCAATGTCAAGAATGAGCCACCCTTTGTGCTCGTGACTGAGCCCCAGGTGAATTCCCCAGCACGCGCGATGAACGAACTTGCCGATTGTGGCCGAGGTCGGTCGGTACTGCACCATGCACCCCCAAACCCTCAGCATGGAGGGGTCTCCCATTGAGCCGTGTCAAACTTATATGCTATAGTCTGTGTAGGCTGTAGTGGGGTTGACAATATAGGGTACAACACTTTTAGGTTTTCCTACTTGTACCCACCTGTTTCCTAGTGCACTCATTCCTCGTAATCTTCACATGGTATAGAGAAGGTTCCCTAGTGGGAACGTTCCTAGGGCCCACCACTGAAAATCGATTTTTTTTTTCCTGCCCGGAGCGCGCTTCGCTCCTGCCCGAGTCGCGCCGCGCGTGCCTACCCTCCCGTCGCGTCCCCTGCCCTTAGCGGCCCGTCGCGCCCTCTTACGGCCCCGTAGCGGCCCCTCTCACGGCCCCCTCACGGCCCCTCTCACGGCCCTTTGCGGCCCCTTCAGGCCCCTCGCGGCCCCTTCGCGGTCCCGTCGCCGCCCTTCGAGGCCCCTCGCGGCCCCTCTCACGGCCCCTCGCGGCCCCTTCGCGGCTCCCTCGCGGCCCTGTCGCCGCCCTTCACGGCCCCGTCGCCGCCCTTCGCGACCCCTCGCGGCCCCTTCACGGCCCCGTCGCCGCCCTTCGCGGCCCCTCACGGCCCCTTCGCGGCCCCTTCACCGCCCTTAGCGGCCCCTTCTCGGCTCCTCCGCGGCCCCTTCTCGGCTCCCTCACGGACCTGCCGCCCCGCCGTCTCCGCCCCTGCAGCAGCAGCCGTC